TCCTTCTGCATGTGTCACCCGTGTAGCGTCATTCCTCCATAGGCGGGGGTATATGGGTCTTCAAACTCAGCAGGTGACAAACCCAATTCCCATTTTTCGTCCTTCTTCCTAATTGGCAATACCAGAACCTTATCATGATCCCCCTTTGGCGGGCTCTTGTGGTACAACCCTTTTTCAATTAGATGGCGTATTTTAGCCCGCGTGAAGGGACATGTTCCCTCTACTTCAACTGCCTCTGTCTCTCTCTGTTCGGGATGCAGAGTTTTTAAAGCTTGTTGTTTGTCCTCATCCGGAGACGGTCGGTCGAGGGGGTGAGGAGGGGGCTTTTCTGTCTGCTCGGATGTGTTGGGTGTGTCTGCAGGTATAGGGGGTTGGAATTTCCGGTGCACAATGTTCCAGATTCTGTTCAAAACCTGTTGTGAGTCCGTTTCTGGGGACAAGCCCTGCTCAAGCGCTTGTTTCAGACTTGGGCTCTTGTCTAATAATGAAAAAAGTTGTACACAGGCTTCGTCCCAGTATGTCTCGCCCTGACCTGTGTATAGCACCCGGAGCTGACCAATTAGCCATTCCGCCAGATTCCTCAGTCTGGTTTCTGCATCCTCTTGCCCTTGCGACCCCCAGGCCTCCGGGGCACTGTCTGTCATTTCCACATCTGGGGGGGTGGCTGGTGATTCCCAATCCATAGGCTGGGGTCCAAAAACTTGAAAGAAAGGGTCTATTCCGGTGGATTCCTTGCTAACCTGAAATCCTTGGGGTGGGTTTGTTTTAGGATGTTTTTGAGCAATGTTTCTTGCTGCTTCCTCCTCTGGGATGAGTTGCCTCGCCAACTGGTGGGTCCCTTCCTCCTGGGATGATTGTTGCTCGCTCTCCTAAAACATCTCGCCCTCTCCCTCCCTTCCTCTCCTGATTGCCTGAGTGTTACTTGCCCTCTCTTTCCCCCTTGGTTATCCGTGCACTGTTTCCTTCCTTGTCTTTCCTTCTGTCCTTTAACTGTCCGCAATTTTCATCCCGTCCTGGTTCCCCCAACTGTTATGCTACTGCCTGTTGGTCCCCATCTTCTGTCGTCAGGATCTAGAATCGATTGTCCGTTCCAGCAGGGGTGATCAGAGTATGCAACAGTTTACTTTTTTTGCTAGAGGACACTTTTTTCTTCAGAACCGGGGTCTGCCGCAGTTCCCTCATGTTCGCTGGAGTTATGAAATATTGGGGTCTGGGTTCTAACCGGGGCCGAGTCTGGGGCTCGGTTCCGGCTGTTCCCGACGTGTCTCGTCTGTTAATTTTGGACGGGTATGTGAGGGGATGGTATTTCTTCCATGTGCGCTTCTATTGATTTAGGAGAGGTCCACCGGTCGGGTGGCTTTGTGTTCTAGTTGACTTCTTCATTTTTCTCCCGTTCCCACCCTCTAACCCCTCCCCGTTCTCGAGGCTCATCTATAAAGACCCATCCTTCGTGCCCTGTATCAACCGTCCTCCACCAAGTTTCTTTGAAAGGATCGTGTAGCAGGCGGCTAGTGGATCTGATTCTCCTGGGCGGGTGGTGGGGGCAGTCTGAGTCCAAAGGGAGGTGTCCGTACACCTGGCACTCAAAGCATCAAGACCGTGTCTTGTGTGCTGTGTGGATTTTAAAATCCTTGCCCCCCACCCGAAAAAGAATGACATCGTCGATGGAGAAGATATGCCCTTTGGGGATATCCAGGGTCACCATGAGGTAGTCGTCCTTTGGGGCTACATGAGGGGGAAGAGGGTCTATAAAGTCGACGATCTCATATTTTTGGGCAAGCTCCTGCACGAACAGCCCCTGAATTTCTATGGGCACGTGCCGGAACTCCACCCAATAATAATCCGTCATTAATTGTTATCACTTTTCCTCCGGCTTTTATTGTTTCGGCGGGGACCAGGGGAAGATCCGGACCTCTGAGCGCCCACAGGGTATGTTCCGCCATGAATCCATAATCTGTTATCTAAATCAAACATACAGAGCATTGTGAACATCGTCGAGGAGGTAGGTTGGATTAGGAAGAAGTCTCGTGTCCCCTCCTGTGAACCCTTGAGGATTGCGAGACGCTTCCTGATCCACCCGACCTTGTCGATTGCGGATTTGTACGCGGCATCATCATAAAAGACCCACATACTCGCATGGCGGGAATATAATACGTCTCTTTCCTTGATCATGTTCCTCGATAGTGCCTTGACCCTGTGCTTTTCCCCCCCCTGTCTAATTATCTTATCCTCCGGATTCACCACAAATTTTGAAAGAAAAAACACGGAGGCTGTCGTCAAGTTATCTAACAGGATTTCCAGGTTTTCTTCCCTCTCTCCTTTTCTTTTGACTGACAGGGTTTGACCCAAGTATATTTTCTTAAGCTTGTCGGCCCACGATGAGGGGGATGTTTATCTTATTTCTTCCTCCTTCTGCAGTTCCTTTGTTTCTCTCAGCTCTTTAAGCAAATCTGCCAGGGAGGGGGGTGTCCGGGAGTGTGACCCTTCCGAGTGATCCGACTGAGGGGGATGGGAAGGGGAAGCTGTGTCCACCGTGACCGTTTCCGTACCTGTCTATCCTATCCCTGGGTCTCCAATTGGTTGAGTGGTGGCCCATGGTTCCCTGATACCAAATCCTCTGTGTCCACCTCTTCCCTCTCCCTTTCCTTGCTTCATTCTTCAAAACTAGCCATGATGCGTAAGGGGTAGGGGAAGATCGAGAAAGCGGGGAGGAAGGTTGGTCTTCCACGTCACGGTCCAGGGGTGGGAGGAGGTAGGGGGCGAGACGGGGGCCAGGATCGGGATTGGGGGGGGTTCCTCAAATCTTGGCAGCATCGCCTTCTCTCAGCACTAAGCAGTCATCCACAAGGTCCAACAGCATCTCCCCTTAGTTCCCTGCAAACCTCCAGCAACCTTTCCTCAACCTTGCATACCTTCAGTTGCTCCTCCACCAGCCTCTTTTTCCTCCTCCAACAGAGTCTTCCCTCAACTAGTGTGATGCAGCCCATCCAATACTCAACTGAGTGTGAGTGCGGGCAACATTACTGCCTCTACAAATGTGAGGCAGTTGAGGGACTGCCTAACTTTTATAGTTGTTGGAGGGGCTGTGGGCAGCACTTTGAGCCTCGATCAAAAATTCAGGCTCAGGCTGGGTCCTTGATCTGAACCTAAGATCATGGACCACAAACCTTGATTCTCCCCTAAGAGAACCAAGGACCCTCAAGACTCCAATTCACCGGAGCTATTTCCCAGATGGAGTGCATTGAGGAAAGGCTGCATCAGGTTTTTCCTTTTGGATCAGCACATACACACATCATCCCCCTTAGTTGTGCACCTTCCCTGGCTCGCAGCCACGTTTGTGCCCCTCCCCCTACTGTTCTCTGCCTGCTGCACGTTCAGGGAGGGGCAATCGAATCTGGTTGAAAACACAGCCAGAATCAAAGAAGAAATCAGAAAGGAAGAAACGATAAACAACAGAAAAAAAAAAAAATCAGAATTAAATAATCATTTTATCTAGGTTACCAATGGTCCGGGGGCCGGACGTCTCCCCTGGACGTCTCCCCCAACTGTCCGGTATGGGAGTTGTCCGGGATCCCGGACAAGTGGTTTTTGGCATTAAAAAAGAAAAAAGAAAAAAAGGGATGTTCTTGCGCAAGACTAGGAGATCCCCCCCAAAAAATTTGGGGTGATTCGGAGCATTTTTGGAAAAAAAAATGTTTTTGGCATTTTGCCACTTTTTGGGGGATCTCCTACTGATGCAAGGAACATGAATGTGGATGAAGATCAGAAATCCAAACTGCAAATCACACTAAAGTCCATATAGACAAAGCAAAAGCAGATAGCGTGGGCCTGGGTCCCAGTTGCTCTGCCCAGGTGCAGTACAGTTAAGGGCCCAGGCTGCACAGTTGTGCCTCTTTCATCCTGATCATCGTCCAGATTCAGACAGTGGACCGGTTTCCCTTTGGCGAATTTCGGCATCCAACCTGCGTTTGCAGAATTCTGGACTTCGTGCATCCAACCAACTGGCGTGCACCCAACCAGCTGGCATGCTGAAACTGTATAGCCCCCACGTAACGAAACGTCGAATGCAGGGCCTTCTGGGCATTTACAGGCCCGCCTTCACTTAGGGCGGGCACGAGGCTTGCTGGGGGCCTTAGCCCAGTACATATGCAATCCTCACACTGACATGCATGTACAACACAACTGTGCAGTACAAAACACACACACACACACGCACACACACACACACACACACACACACACACACACAC